AAAAAAAAAAAAAAAAAAAAAAAAGGCTCAAATCCCCCAATCACAATTATTGGAGGTCTCTCAGGCCACTTAAATAGGGTATTGCACAGTGAAATGGGCTCACACTATCACCCTACAGAGGACGAAACACAATGGAAAGACAACAGATGGTACCATTCACTTTGGCTGCTTTTCTCCGAAAGACTTTGTAAGAACCAGTGGGAACTGTATGCAAGTAACATGCAACCCCACTGCCTTTACCTAGTGAGCAAGGAGCACAGAAGCTCCCCCGACAGGTCACGAGACAGCTCTGCTTCCAGCAGCTGTGTCTCTAGACTTCTCCCACGCCATCCCTCGTGGCCCTCAATATCTGCTGTTGAGACCACTTTCCTGGAGTGCCTTGTTCCCAGTCTGCAGGGAGGTCAGCAGCTGTGCGGCCCAGAGAGGTTGGGTGAGTCCCTAGAGAGGTTGGGTGAGTGGCCCACAGCAACCGGTCCACAGGTCACTGGCAGGCACAATCCAGCTGCCCGCGTGAACTGTTTGTCAAGAATGTGAATTAGGCCCGGTGCGGTGGCTCATGCCTGTAATCCCAGCACTCTGGGAGGCGAATCATCTGAGGTCACAAGTTCAAGAACAGCCTGGCCAACATGGTGAAATCCTGTCTCCACTAAAAATACAAAAATTAGCTGGGTGTAGTGGTGAGTGCCTGTAATCCCAGCTACTTGAGAGGCTGAGGCAGGAGAATCGCTGGAACCTGGGAGGCAGAGGTTGCACTCTAGTCTGGGCAACACAGCAAGACTTTGTCTCAAAAAAAAAAAAAAAAAAGAATGTGAATTACCTCCCAAGAAGTAAAAATTGACAGAGCTCCTGTTAAAATTCAGATTTGGAGGTCCTTTTGAAAAATGCAGAGGATGTGGCCACAGTGAGCCCACACTTCCATGGGGCCACAGTCAGCTGGTGCTGGGAAGGGGCTGTATCCTCGGCCCCAGGTCTCCTCTTCTATCTGGGTCACCCACTTGGCCCCAGTTGCATCCCAGTTAGCAGCCCAGGTGCCACGCGGTGGAACCAGAGGGAAGACTTAGGCTGCAATCGCCTCTTCCATGCCTGGTGCTGTTTCCCCACCCACAAATCCATCAAGAACAAATTTCCTAAGTGGCCTCAAAATATAAAAATAAAATGCAAGGGGGGCAGTGAAGGAAGCGAGCTGACAGTTATTACTCGCTGCCGTGCTCTGACAAAGTGTTATTCTTTCCAGCCGAGAGGCATTTGACAAAGCTGAATAGATGCTTACATTCCTGCAACCCAGGGATTTTTCTAAGAGAATTTTTTTTAACGAAACTATTTCAGATATGCTAAGAAGTACAGACACTGACATAGCAACAAATCAGTGTAATCCCTCACCAAGTCCTAGCAACGTGTAATGCTACAGCAAGTGCTGGTGCGCGTGGGGAGGAACTGGAACCCTGCTGCGCTGCTGCTAAGAATGGGGACAGGGTAGAGGCTGTGCAAAAGTCTGACAGTTCCTCAAACAGTTAAACAAAGAGCTAACATAGGACCCAGCGATTCCACCCCTCGGTACTACCTAAGGAAAATGAGAACAGATGTCCACACTGGGACTGACACAGGAACATTTACAGCTACATTACGCATAATGGCCAAGGCGTGGAAACAACTCAGACATCCATCAACCGATAAATAAATGTGGTCTATCCAGACAATGGGATATTATCCAGCCATAAAATATACTGATCCATGCTACGACATGGATGAACCTTGAAAACATGATGCTAAATGAAAGAAGCCAGTCGCAAAAGACCAAAGACCACATAGTGTGTGATTCCATTTATATGAAATGCCCAGAATAGGCAAGTCCACAGAGACAGGAAGAGGAAGAGCGGTTGCCTGGGGCTGAGCGGACAGGGAAGTAAGTGTTAAGGAGTGTGGGGTTTCTTTTGGGGGTGATGAAAATGTTCCAAAATTGATTGTGGTGATAGATGCACAATTCTGTGAATACACTACAAGTCACTGAATTCTGCATTTTATTTGAGGGGGGGATTGTTGTTTTTTATTTTTTTATTTTGAATTGTGCATTTTAAAGGGGTGAGTTTTATGGTACATGAATTGTATTTCCATAAAGCTGTTTTATTTTAAAAATCAAAAAGAGGAAATCAGTGGTCGAAAAATTCTTGTAAAATGAATAGTGAAACTAAAGAATGCTGTTTGGTAAGTTTCCATTTTCAAACATTTGGTTTTGCCAGGCTTTAATTTTTGTCACTCTGTCATGTAGGAAACAGCTTGTATTGAAGCTCTGGCTAATTGGCAGGGAGGGGGTGAATGTTAAGAAAGAAAAGTGGAGGCCGGGCACGGTGGCTCATGCCTGTAATCCCAGCACTTTGGGAGGCCCAGGTGGGCGGATCACTTGAGGCCAGGAGTTTGAGACCAGCCTGATCAACATGGTGAAACCTCGTCTCTACTAAAAATACAAAATTAGCCAGGCGTGGTGGTGCATGCCTGTAATCCCAGCTACTCAGGAGGCTGAGTTAGGAGAATCGCTTGAACCTGGGAGGCGGAGGTTGTGGTGAGCCAATATCCCACCCTTGCACTCCAGCCTGGGCAACAAGAGCGAGACTCCATCTAAAAAGAAAAAAAACAAAAAAGGGAAAGAAAAGTGGCCTTCTGGGGAAGGAATATCAGGATGCAGGTCAGGACTTGGCTCAAAACCAAGACCCCTCAGGGAGAAGATCAGCAGGGAGTGGATTCATCCTCAATAGGACCCTCTTCCCTCCCCATGCCTGGTTCCTGGGGTATGTCACTGGAGTCTGGGACCACTGGAGCACTGAGCCCCTCATCTCTCAATGAGCAATGCAGCCCCAGCTCCCAGTCCGCACTCACCCAATGCCTGCGATAGATTTCATGTAGAGGCTCAGCTGCAGTTTCACAGAGCAGTTCATGGGGATTCCTGTGACCTGCGGCAACAAACACAGTGAGGAGACTGGCCACCCCCAGCTCCAGGGACACCACCAAGCCCTCCTCTCCCTGGTCTCAGTCAAGAAGGTGGGCGTCCCAGCTAACTGCCCAGTGGAGCTTGCTTGTATCTGACCTGAAACAAGCCACAGGCTGGGGGAGGGTCCATGGTTCTAGAAATGCTGGGCAGGTGCATTGGGATCTCCTCTCCTGGTTCTAACCCCTTATAGGGAAACAAGTGCTTCCCACACGGTTATGTTACAGCCTCAAGAGGTCCCTTCTATAAAGCAAGCATGTCCCAGGGTGGAAAAAACCTAATCACTTTCACCTGTCCTCCTAAGATGGTGTTTCCCCAAGTGCAGAATGGCAATTTGTCGATGCTCCCTCTCAACCTCCACATTCAATAAAACGGACAAGAATCCCTTCTCAATTCACTCCCAACTCCTCCGGATCATTTTCAAGAGTAGTCTCAGCCAGGTGTTTGCATGGTCTTTAATGCCCCTCTAATACACCTACACAAAATCTCCACTTTTAACACTGGTGCAGAGAGTTGAACCTGGGTTCACCCCTGCTGGCAGACAACAATATTTTACATAGAGCCTAATATTTTTTTCCTTGTTCATTTTTATGGTTGTCTTCTTTCTTCGGAGAATTTTGTGATTTCCTATTTGAGGTAGTAATAAAAACCTTCCCTTGTGCAGAAATTTATTTTTATTTTTGTTTGTTTTTGAGACAGAGTCTCAGTCATCTAGGCTGGAGTGCAGGCAACCTCTGCCTCCTGAGTTCAAGCCATTGCCCTGCCTCAGCCTCCCCAGTAGCTGGGACTACAGGTGTGCACCATCACATTTGGCTAATTTTTGTATTTTTAGTAAAGACAGGTTTCACCATGTTGACCAGGCTGGTCTCAAACTCCTGGCCGCAAGCGATCTGCCCACCTTGGCCGCCCAAGGCGGGATTATAGGCGTGAGCCACCGCGCCCAGCCTATTTATCATTATTATTATTGTAGAGACAGAGTTTTACTAGGTTGCCCAGGCTGGTCTCAAACTAGCCTTAAGTGATCTTCCTGCCTCAGCCTCCCACAGCACTGGAATTACAGCCATGAGCCACTACACTCAGCTCTTTTTTTATGAGACTTTTTTTTAAAGTAAATAACAGAAGTGACACACATATGTCATCAAAAACAACAGGAAGGTGGTTCCAGAATGAAGTCAGGAAATGATAGTGGAAATAAAACTGGATTTGAGGTCAGAGAACTGTATTTGGTTCTTCTTTACTGAGAGTTGCTTCCTCATCTGTAAAACAGAGGGAACTCTCCCCACCTGACAGAATATTCGCAAGGGCAAAAGTAAGGTATGCAAGATAGCCACACTCGGGGCCATAAATGCCTGGGTTATTATCACATACACTGTAAGGAAAGGATGTTTTCTTCATTATGGCCCAGGATGCTGAGGCCCTTCCAGGCCCCTGTGGTAAAAAAGAGCTCATCAAAGACCTCACTTATGCTCACAACTGGGGAGCACTTGCCCTTGAGAGCCTGGTGGGATGGGCGTGAGTTCACCCATGAGTAGAACAGAGTTCACATCGCAGGCCTGAAGCTGCTCTCCTTAGGAATTCTGCTGGCATCTGGGAGCCCAGATTTCAGGGGGGTTCCCACCATCCCCTAACTGATGAGAGTAGTTCACTGGGCCGAAATTATCTGTACAAACAGTATGGTTCTTGCTCAGCACCTGCTTTCCTTCCCAGAGTCTAGAATTTTGGTACCTGCCAGGCAGAGGTGCCCATGTGACTGGCCCCTAGCAAAACACTGTGGGCACTGAATTTCTAACGAGCTTCCCTGCTAGACAACATCTCCTACATGTTGTCCTAACTCATTGCTGAAGACATTAAGTGCATCCTGCAGGACTGCCTTGGAAGAGGACTGTGGAAGCCCCAGCCTGACCTCCCCCGACTTCACCCAAGGTGCTTTTTCCCTTTGCTAATTTTGCTTTGAATTCTGTCGTTATAATAAGTCTCAGCTGTGATACCACCATAGCGGCGTCCTGTTGCGTCCCCTGTCCCCATGCCCTCCCCCAGTTTCAGCAGCAGAAAAGTGGCCACACGGAAGCAGCTTCCAACACGCATTTGGTTTTCAAGGCTGATGGCCAACAGGCAGCAAGCTGATCTCATGATCCCCTCCCCAACGTGCCCAGCTCAAAAAACAAAGAAATAAAGGCCACTTCCTCTCCCTTCGGCCTCAAGATGATCTGGAGGTAGAACTGGACGCAGCAGCTAAAGTGGCTGCGGCAAAACAGCTCTGTGCCTCTCTCTGGGCTCCCAAACTTAACCCCCTCTTTCTTGATGTGAGGGGGAGAAAAGAAAATCCCTGCCCTGAAAGGAAAGCGATCAGTGAGAGCACACAGGAGACGGTGTGCATGGCGGAATTCTCCGGAAGCCAGCAGAGCAAGAGAGGCCGGAGGAGAAATTAACTAAAAGACGGAAGGCAGAGACCAGGCCTGCGGCCGGGGCCGAGAGGGTCTAGTCAGTGGCTAAGGAGGCCTGGGAGGACAAAGGAAAATGGTGCAGAACAGCGTCTGCCGCAGAGCTTCGGGAAGGGCCTGAGATGTGCAGCACTGTGGCAAACGCATGGAGCTTCCTCAGACAACGAAAACCAGAACTACCATCGGATCAGTGATCCACTGCCGGGCATCTGCCCAGAGGAAATGAAATCAGTGTGTCAAAGAGACAGGGGCACTCCCATGTACACTGCAGCCAAGATACAGAATCAAGCGAAGTGTCTCAGTGAATGAATGGGCACCGCAAACATGGTGCACACACAGTGGGATACTGTTCAGCGTTTAAAAAGAGGGAAATCTGGCCGGGTGCGGTGGCTCACACCTGTAATCCCAGCACTGTGGGAGGCCGAGGTAGGCGGATCACTTGAGGCCAGGAGTTCGAGACCAGTTTGGCCAAGATGGTGAAATCCCATCTCTACTAAAAATACAAAAATTAGCTAGGCATGGTGGTGTGTGCCTTTAATCCCAGCTACTCTGCAGGCTGAGGCAGGAGACTCACTTGAACCCAGGAGGCAGAGGTTGCAGAGAGCCGAGATCATGCCACTGCACTCCAGCCTGGGTGACAGAGCAAGACTCTGCCTCAAAAAAATAAATAAATACATAAAAACAGGGAAATCCTGTCATTTGTGACAACATGATGAACTTGGGGGACACTGTGCTAAGTAAAATAGGCCAGGCACAGAAAGGCAAATACTGCATGACCTCACTTGTATGTGGAATCTTAAAAAGTTGAATTCAGGCCAAGCGCAGTGGCTCACGCCTATATTCCCAGCAATCTGGGAGTCCGAGGCGGGTGGATCACCTGAGGTCACGAGTTCAAGACCAGCCTGGCCAACGTGGCAAAACCCTGTCTCTACTAAAAATACAAAAATTAGCCAGGTGTGATGGTGTGTGCCTGTAATCCCAGCTACTCGAGAGGCTGAGGCAAGAGAATTGCTTGAACCCAGAAGGCGGAGGTTGCAGCGAGCCGAGATTGTGCCACTGCACTCCAGCCTGGGTAACCAGAGTGAAACTCCATCTCAAAAAAAAAAAAAGTTGAATTCATGGAAGCAGAGGGTAGAATACTGGCTAGCAGGGGCTGGGAAGGCAGGGAGGGGGAAGTCAGTCAAAGGATACAAAATTTCAGTTAGACAGGAGGAATAACTTTAGGAGATCTGCTGGACAATACAGCAACACTCAGTGTATTGTATTATACAATACAACACAGTGACTATAGTGAATAGCAATGTATTGTATACTTGAAAGTTGCTGACCGTAGATTTTAAATGTTCTCACCACTAATACATAATCAGTATGTGAGGTAATACATATGTTAATTGGCTTGATTTAGGCATTCCACAAGGTATATGCATATCTCATAACATCATGTTGTACACCTCAAAAATAGACAGCTTTTCTTTTTCAAGTTAGAAAACTAATTTTGGCTGGGCATGGTGGCTCATGCCTGTAATCCCAGTGCTTTGGGTGGCCGAGACAGGAGGATTGCTTGAGCCCAAGAGTTCAAGACCAGACTGGGCAACATGGCGAAACTGCATCTCCACAAAAAATACAAAAATTAGCCAGGCATGGTGGCACACGTCTGTAGTCTGGGCTACTAGGGAGGCTGAGGTGGGAGGATCACCTGAACCCAGGGAGGTCGAGGCTGCAGTGAGCCATGATCATGCCACTACACTCCAGCCTGGGCAACAGAGTGAGACCCTGTCTCAAAAATAATAATAATAATTTTGTTAAAGGCCCCTGGGAGAGACCACAAGTGCCCACTCAGGAAACAGAAAACCACAGATTTCTGAATCAATGGTAGCAGCCACCGAGCCCAACTGGGCATATTTTACAGAGAACAGAGGCGCCAAGAGAAGAGGCTACAGGCTGAAGGCATGTCCTTGGGAGGGCCACATGTCCAGCTCTCTGCTTGTAGACAGAACTTCACACGGGACAAATTCTCTGTGTGATTTATCTGCAAGATATTCCAGGCTTTTCTTGGTACCTGATCTTTATGGTATCTTGACACATCCAGAGGGCTGCCTCCAGCTCACATGTAGGAGACACCCCAGCTGATAAGTTCTAATTAATTTACTGTCTTAGGGCCCATTTATAGAACCCGGTACAGGGATCATAAAACCCGTGAACTATGGGGTCGGGGTGAAGGAAGGAACTTCGGTGGCTCGAGATTCTAGAAGCCAGGCTTCCACCAGCCCAGCCCACAGCAGCTCTGTGCTTGGGAAGAGAGGAGGCAGCCAGGTGTGCTCCGACCAGGAATCGCCCACCCCCACAGAGGATGGCAGGGGCTCACCGGGTGGATGTCCAGGAACAGGGAGTGTGCCTCCTGGTTAGGGTGCAGGCCAGTCACCGCTTCTGCCAGGACCGGGTCGGCGTTGAGGAAGTGAGGATGGGAGAGAAACAAGGGGGCACCTAGAAGACAGAGGGGTGGGGAAGGGACATCAGACAAGGACAGTGCATTGGCAGGTCCTGCCAGGCCGTAGGTCTGCACAGAGCTGCGGTCTGCAGAGCACCCCCGTGGCAATGACAAGACAACCAGACAGAGAGGATCCCTTCCTCCATTCTATAAAAAGCCCCAGGCCCTACCATGAGGCACAAGCTCTGTGCCAGAGAAGGGGTGAGGCAGGAGCCGCTGATTCTGACAGGAGAGACCAAAAGAAGGAAGAGGCTCTGAACAGGAGCCAGGTGAAGGAGGCCCAGGAAGCACATTGCAGATGGAAGGGAAGGCGGAAGCAAGTGCGGGGAGGGGGAAATGCATGGTGCACGAGGGTGCTAGGGAGGCAGGGATGGACAAGGCAATGCCAGATTTGAACTTGGGTGTAGGGAGGGGAGTCTCGAGCACAAGTCAAGGAACCCACACTGGCCCTTGCAGGCCACGCAGCAACAATCAGAGCTCAGGTGGTCAGGTCTCCCTGCGTCCACAGGAGTGTGTCCTGTAGACACACCTGCTACAAACATGAGCTCAACCTCACCACTGACCAACCAAACCAGGCAAACACTAGCTCACCCTCCGGACAATGGACAACAGGCCTGAAGGACAAGTTAACAAGGAACAGCGAGTGGGCCTCTCTCAAAAGCTCACAAGGGCCAGGCGCCATAGCTTATGCCTGTAATCCCAACGCTTTGGGAGGCCTCAGCAGGCAGATCACTTGCACCCAGGAATTGGAGACCAGCCTGGGCAATATGGCAAGACCCCATCTCTATAAAAAAAAAAACACACAAAAATTAGCTGGGCATGGTGGCACATGCATGTAGTCCCAGCTACTCAGGAGGCTGAGGCAGGAGAATCGCTTCAGCCTCGGAGGCTGAGGCTGCAGTGAGCCATGACCGTGCCACTGCACTCCAGCCTGGGCAGCAGAGCAAGATCCTGTCTCAAAAGAAAAAAAAATTTTTTTTTAAAAGCTCACGAGGATCCAGATGGTGCTAATCCACTGACAGAGCCAACAGGTGGTGACCAGGGGCTGGGGAGGGGGCAGGGAGTAACTTCTGATGGGTCTGGGTCTCCTTGTGGGGCGACAGAAATGTTCTGGAACGAGATACAGGTGATGGCTGCACAACCTTGTGACCCTGCTAAATGCCACTGAATCATTCACTTTAAAATGGTTAATTTTATGTTACAAGAATTTTGCCTCAATAAGAAAGGAAAACAAAACAAAACAAAAAACCCGAATCAGAGGCCAGGCATGGTGGCTCACGCCTGTAATCCCAGCACTTTGGGAGGCTGAGGTGGGTGGATCACCTGAGGTCAGAAGTTCAAGACCAGCCTGGTCAACATGGTGAAACCCCATCTCTACTAAATATACAAAAATTAACCAGGCGTGGTGGTGGGTGCCTGAAATCTCAGCTACTTGGGAGGCTGAGGCAGGAGAATCGCTTGAACGCAGGAGGCAGAGGCTGCAGTGAGCCGAGATCGCGCCTTGCGCACCAGCCTGGGCAACAAGAGCGAAACTTCATTCCAAAAAAAAGACCAGGCGCAGTGGCTCATGTCTGTAATCCCAACACTTTGGGAGGCTGAGGCGGGCCGATCATGAGGTCAGGAGTTTGAGACCAGCCTGGCCAACATGGTGAAACCCCATCTCTACTATCTCTGCTTTTCTTAGCAAAGCCAGGCACTGGTTTGAAATAAAAGCTGGGATTATCGATGTCGGGCTTCCTCTTTCTCAGTCCTTATGCATCCCTGCCCTTCAGGTTTCTCAAGCATCATTCATCCCAGTACCTTTTCAATTTCATCACATCTGAATGCCCCCTGCACTGTTATATAATGTGCTGCTCTGAAACAACTGCCAGTGCCTGCCTTAAATCTCTGTATTTTAAAGGGAAGCTTTACAGCTGTGCAAACACTTGCCGCAATTAGAAAGTACATATTTGGGCCAGGCACTGTGGCTCACACCTATAATCCCAGCACTTTGGGAGGCCAAGGCAGGCAGATCATTTGAGGTCAGAAGTTCAAGACCAGCCTGGGCAACATGGTGAGACCCCCGTCTCTACTAAAAATACAAAAATTAGCCGAGCATGGTATGGGCCTATAATACCAGCTACTCGGGAGGCTGAGGCAGGGGAATTGCTTGAACCCGGGAGGCAGGGGTTGTGGAGGCTGCAGTGAGCTGAGATCGCATCACTGCACTCCAGCCTGGACGATAGTTTCCAGAGGTTGCAGTAAGCCAAGACTGCACCAATGCAATCCAGCCTCAGCGACAGAGCAAGACTGTGTCTCAAAAAAAAAAAAAAAAAAAAAAGGCATATTTGAATAAACACTGTGAAAAATATTGATGTTGTAAGTTCTAACTAGAACCTGTTACTGCACGAGGCTTTAACTGGGAGCCCTGCTCTTTTTCTATTAAAAGAAAAAATAAAAAAGGTTGATGAGTGTAGAAGGCTCTTCAAGTCCTCAGCATCAACAGAGACCTTCTCCTGCACGTGATGGCAAGGAGGAAAAGAGGATGGACCCAGAAGCTCTCTCTCACCTCCTTGGACCTTCTGAAGCCATCCCAAGCACCCGCAGGGACAGTGTCTTCCACAATTTGGAAAACGCTGCTTCTCATGCCTCCTCCGGAGCCGGACTCTGGAGGAATCTCAAGCAAGCCCTGGCCTACCCGCAGCCCCAGGTGGAGACTGAGGTGGGATGAGGCAACTTGTCAGCCCCCGCCCTTACTTCAGAGGCTGAGCCTGCATGGACCCACGCACGTGTTTCTTCCAATTTTATTACCAAACACACCGAGAGAGATCTTCCCAGCAATAAGTGGTAATTAATTTATAGCTTTATGGCATACTTAGCCAGATATAATTGCCCAGGATTGCCACGGATGATAATTAGTTGGCTCTATGAGGCAAGTCGGACGCCCTCACGCAACAGGGAGGTTTGAGATGAGGGAGTTGTCTGAGTCCAACAGATTTCAAGGCCCAGAAAGGCAAAGCCATGGGTACCTTTACTCTTTAGATAACATGCCACAGAAACACAGACAGAGGTGACCAAATGACACGTGTGCACCCACGAATGCCCACGATGGATCACCACACAGCAATGAAGACGAGGAGCTGCAACCACTCACAACGTCACAGACAAATCGCACCAGGGTGCTAAGGGGTGCACAGGCCAGAAAAGGAGGGAAAGGAATCCAGGTTTATGGGCTATTCACATGAAGATGCAAACCAGCTGAGCTCTGGGGCTGGACGCCAGGGCGGTGGGAGGACCGCGAGGGGCATCCAGGGCCTGTCATGTCTGTTTCTCGGTCAGGGTGCTGGCCAAGAAATGGTGCATTCACTTTGTCAAGTTTCAAACCGCACACGTCAGCCAGGCGCAGCAGTTCATGCCTGTAATCCCAGCACTTTGGGCGGGAGGATCGCCTCAGCCCAGGACTTCAAGACTAGCCTGGGCAATATGGTGAGACCCCATCTCTAAGGAAAATTTAAAAATCAGCTGGGCATGGTAGCAACCACCTGTAGTCCCAGCTACTCGGGAGGCTGAGGTGAGAGGATCATTTGAGTGATGGAAGTCAGGCTGCTGTGAGCTGTGATGGCACCACTGCACTCCAGCCTGGGTGACAGTGATACCCTGTCTCAAAAAAAAAACAAAGCAAAAAACCCCCAAAACTACATGAGTCATCTGGGAACTTATTTGTATCTATGTATATTTTATTTAGAAGTAAAAACTAAGCCCAGGCAAGACGGCACAACACCATCTCTACAAAAAAATTTTAAAATAAGATAAAATAAATTAGCCAGGTGTGGTGGTGTGTACCTGTGCTCCCAGCTACCTGGGAGGCTGAGGTCAGAAAATCATTTGTGCCCAGGAGGTCAAGGCTGCTGTGAGCTGTGATTGCACCACTGCACTTGAGCCTGGGCAACAGAGTGAAACCCTATCTCAAACACGTAAATAAAGAAAAGAAAAAACTTTATTGAAATAAGTATTGTAAAATTCCCTTGTGCTTTTGAAATTCTTTTGGCAGATGTGCTAAGAGAAGGCAGGGCACACCTTGTCCCAAGCCCTTGGAGGGGATGGGCATGTCATTTCTCTCCCTTCTCCTGGTACCTACACCCCTACTTACTACACCTTCCCTACTTTCAGCCTTGTGCTTCGAGTGGGGCCAGCTCACCCAGGAGCCAGCTGATCATGTGACACATGCCTGGCCAATCAGCATAGTCCACCTCAGCTACCGTGATTGGTTTACAGCTGGGCATGGGTGCCAGGCAGACCAATTAGAGCAAACCCTGGAACTTCTGCTGGAGTGAAGGAAACATAGGTGGCCCCTTTCTGCAGGACTCGGAGCTGGGCAGAGGTGAGCCTGGAGCCTCCGCACGCAGCCAGGCGGGAGAGCCTGCTTGGCAGCAAAGCCAGTCCGGCAGAAAACTGAGCTGGGACTTGGCAGGGGCAGCTTCCAGGCAACATCTAAGTTCTGGATTTGTGCCTAATACAGGGATCTGCCCTGGAACTTTTCATTACGCAAACCAAGAAGTGCCCTTTTGGCCTAAATCAAGTGGAGTCCAGCATCTGCCACTGCGACAGTTGCTGTAGCACACCTATTGGGTGTGTAACATACTCAACCTTACTAGCAGAAATCCCCACTGATACCAGCAAAGAATGAAGCAAGCAGAGGCCATTGCCCAGGCGGGCCAGACAGGACCAGGAGACAGCAGCGGGCGACCCAGGCCCCAGCTCCAAACCGTTTGCTCACAGGTTGCTCCATTCTGCCTGAAATGGGGGAAAGCATCCAATCTGTTTACAGTCCCTCCTCCTGACCCCCGCTGCAGACCAGTCCTTTCGAGTCGCTGTCTCCAGCTGGAGGACGGGGCTTCAACCAAAAAGGCTCCCAGAAGGCAAGACACAGTCAAATAGACAGCCGCTTCCGGTCCTACCAACCCTGTGACCTTGGTCGCATCCAGCCTCAGGCCTCGATTTCCTAAGTACAGAACACACTCACCATCCCTATATTCAAATACTGTATGAGTATCCATTACATGCGGGGCACAGTTCTAGAAGCTAAGAATAAAACCAAGAAGAGGAGCTTGGGGCCCTGACTACAGGGATGACAGTGAATGGAAAGGGCAATGAGTAAGAAGATAAAATCCACAGTCCATGATTTCAGGGAGCAATGAGCACCAAGAAGACAAGAGGAAGCCATAGGGAGCAGCGGGCAGGAGAGGGGGCAACTTTAGAACAGGAAATCAGAGGAGGCCTCCTGGAGGAGGTGGCATTTGCATGCAGACCAAAAGAAGGTGAGGGAGGATCCACTCAGAAGTCCAGATAAAGAGCTCTCCAAGCAGGGGAAGCAGCCCACGCAAAGGCCCTGAGGCAGCACTGACCTTGGTATATTTTAGAAAAAGGGTGAAGCCATCAGGGCTGGAGAATAATGAACAGGGGACGTGTCGGGAGAAATGAAGTCAGAGAGGCCGGTAGGGGCTGGATCTTGCAGGGCCCAGGGCCATGGTAGGAGTTTGGACTTCACTCTGAATACAGACAGAGCTGCCAGACATTTTGAGAGTACAGTGGCAATCTCCATATTTTTTGAGATGGGTCTTGCTCTGTTGCCCAGGCTGGAGTGCAGTGGGGTGATCACAGCTCACTGCAGCCTCGACCTCCAGGCTTAGGCCATCCTTCCACCCCAGCCTTCCACGTAGCTAGGACTACAGGCGTGCACCACTATGCTTAATTTTTTTTTTTTTTTCTAGAAAGAGGCCTTGCTGTATTGCCCAGGCTGGTCTTGAACTCTTGGCCTGAAGTGATCCTCCCACCTTGGCCTCTCACAGGGTTGTGATTACGGATGTGAGCCACCATACCCGGCCGGCATTGTTAAAAGATCCCTTGGCTGCTGTCGGGAGTGCTACAGAACTTCCTATGATGATGGAAATGCTCTCTATGTGTGCTATCCAAGACACTAGCTGCTAGACACACATAGCATACGAGCATTTAACTTCCGGCCACTGCAACCAAGGAACTGCCTTTTAATTTGATTTTGTTTAAATCAGTTTCAATTTAAACAGCCGCAAGAGGCCAGCAGTGACCGCACTGGATGGTCTAGGGGATGGATGGTACAGCGGCAATGCTGCGTTGAGGGATGGGCTACTGAAAGGACTGGATCACCAGGAAGGACGTGTCCATGGGCTGGACAATGAGGCGGGGGGTTGGAGTGGGTGGCAAGAGAGAGGAAGGAGTGAGGACTCAACCTGGAGGTAAAGCCATCTGGGCTTGCTGACACACTGGAAGAGCCGGGTGAGAACAGGGAATCAAACTGACACCCGAGGGTCCAAATTGAGCAACTTGAGGCGGGGGTGCCTCAGGGACTGGCACATAATTGAGACACACCAACAATGTCAGGGGACACAACTCTAGCAGCAATCATCACACCTGCCTAGCCGCCCACACTGCGGAACAAGAGGATGTTATGTAACACACAGACCCTCGCCAGCCTCTTTTCATCTCAGAATGGGTGAAGGGTCCTTCCCACCAAGCCTCACTCTCAAGTTCCAAATCACGGTGTGGGAGGGCAGAGGAACAGCCCCCTAGACACGTCCATGCCCTAAGCCCCAGAACCCATGGCTATGCCAGGTCACAGGGCAAAGGGGCACTGGGCCTGCTCAGCAGCTGCCTTGAAGGTTCAGAAATTGGGCCAGACACAGTGGCTCATACCTGTAATCCCACTGCGTCAACAGGCAGAGGCAGGTGGATCACTTGAGGCCAGGTGTTTGAAACCAGCCTGGGCAGCATGGTGAGACAACATCGCTACAAAGAGTTTACAAAAATAAAATGAGCTAGGTATCGTGGCCCACACCTGCGATCCCAGTTACTCAGGAGGCTGAGGCAGGAGGATCGCTTGAGCCCATGAGGCCGAGGCTGCAGTGAGCTATAATTGCACCACTGTACTCCAGCTCTAGGCTACAGAGTGATACCTTGTCTCAAAAAATAAAAATAGGCCAGGCGCAGTGGCTCACATCTGCAATCCCAGCACCTTGGGAGGCCGAGGCAGGCGGATCACTTGAGGTCAGGAGTTCAAGACCAGCCTGGACAACATGGTGAATCCCCATCTCTACCAAAAATACAAAAAATTAGCCAGGTATGGTGGCGCACACCTGTGGTCCCAGATACTCGGGAGGCTGAGGTGGGAGGATCACTTGAGCCTGGGAGGAGGAGGTTGCAGTGAGCTGAAATGGCACCACTGCATCCAACCTGGGTGACAGAGTGAGAGTCTGTCTCAAAAAAAATAAATAAATAAACAAGATGGGGAGACTGTCCTGGGGTATCCAGGAGAGCACGATGTGGTCTTAAGGGTTCTTAGAACTGGAAGAGGGGCAGAAGAGGGAGCAGAGGAAGAGATTTGAGGACACAGTGGATCAGAAGGATGCTGTGTTGCTGGCCTCAAAGGTGGAAGAAGGGCCCAGGAGCCAAGACACACAGAGAGGCCTCTAGAAGCCAGAAAAGGCTGATGCAGATTCTCCGAGAGCCTCCAGAAGGAACACAGCCTCCTTGATCTGAGTGCAGTGAGACCCACGCGGACTTCTGAACTACAGAACTGCAAGATAACCAGTGCGTGTTGTTCTAAGCCATGAAGTTCATGGCAATTTATTGTGGTAGCAACTAATAGACCTGGCATTTCTGCCTTTTCAAATCATCTTCCTGCGGCCTCGTTATCTTCAGCCTAATGGGATTATCAAGAGTACAGAGGCCAGAGATTCAGCAGACAGCACGGGGCAGATAAACCCTCAGCTGGCCCCACCCTCACGCCCTCCCGCCATCCCAGCACTGTGCTGAGGTTCACGTACTGAACCTGCAGGTGCTGACGTTCTGAATTCCAGACTCCAGGCACGGGCAGAAGCCTTCGTTGGGTGGGTAGATGGACCCATTGGCAAACAGGGTTTTGGGAGCCACGAAGCGATAGGTGGGGATGCCTTCAAACACCCCTGGCTCCTTGTACATTAGCTTCATGGACCTGCAGGGGACAGACAGGGTGAGAGAGGACACTCAAACCCGGCAGCCAGAGCCAGGCCCTGCCGAAGGCTGCCAAGATCCAGTCACTTCTCCCCACAGGCACTACCACCTCCCAGGTCCAAACCGCCCCCATCTCTCACCCAGGTAGCTGCAGCGACCTCCTAATGGGCCTCTCTGCTCCAACTCTGCCTCCCTACCCACACCAATGTATTAGCCACAGCCAGAAGGAGTTTTACAAAAGAACAGAGGCCAGGCATTATGGCTCACACCTGTAATCCCAGCACTTTGGGAGGCCAAGGTGGGAGGATCACCTGAGCCCAGGAGTTCGAGACCAGCCTGGGGAACATGGTGAGACCCAGTCTCTAAAAAACAAAAATTGTTTTTGAAAGTTATGAAATCAAAAAAAAGAACAGAATATATCATGCCCCTGCTGAAAATCTGTGGCCCTTTCTAGTCTAACCTACCATTAGGATTCATTGTCCTTATCTAGCCCCCGCAGCCGCCCTACTCAGCCCTGCCTCACCTTCCTGTGCCCAGGGCCTCCCTGCAGTTCCTAAGCACACTCGCTCCTGCCCCAGGCCCTTTGCATCGCTGCTCCCTCTGCCTAAGACCAGTCTCCTCTCGCATTTTCATCCACCAGACTTCAGCCCTTCAGTCAGATCTCAGTTCAGCTGTCACTTCCTCGGGTGGCAGCACCGTCCCCCACACCCACTCCATCCATCCTCCACCCGTTTATGCTCTTGCACTTTCTCAAAAGCACTTCTGAACTTGAACATGCACTGTGCTAGCCACTCTGTCCACGGCAGCCACTCAGCACACGTGGCTGTCCATCCCACCCTTGACATGGGGCGAGTCCAAATTGGGATGCAAGTGTAGAACACATTCCAGATTTCTAACACTTGCTAGCAAAAAAAAAAAAAAAACTCATCAATAACACTTGAAATTATCCTATTTTTGATGTATGAGGTCAAATAAAATACATTATTAAAAATAATTTCACCAATTTCTTGTTACTTGTATTAATGCAGCCACTAAAAAATTTTAAATTGCATGTGTGCCTTGCATATTTTGATTTATAGGAAAGTGCCAGCTTAGATAATAGTATTATGTCAATGTCAAATTTCCTCATTTCAATAACAGCATTGTGGTTATGTAAGAAAATGTCCTCATTTCTGGAAAACACCCACTAAGTATTTGGATGTAAGGGGGCACAGAGCCTCCAACCTACTCTCAGATGGTTCAGGAAAACGACACTCAGCGAGAGGAGGGGACGGGGGGCTTGACACAGCTAGTGAACCTGGGTGAAGGGGACACGGGGGCCACTTGTATTTCTCATGCAACTTTTCTTTAAGTTTAAAATTCAGCTTTTAAAAAGTCAGTTGGGTCCGGTGGCTCACACCTGCAATCCCAGCACTTTGGGAGGCTGAAGCAGGAGGATCCCTTGAGGCCAGGAGTTCAAGACTAGCCTGGGCAACACAGCAAGACCCCCATCTCTAAAAAATAAAATAAATAAATAAGTAATAACTTAAAACAGTAAAAAGTGGCCACACAGAGCAAAAGCACTGTCACTCTCTGACACTCTAGTGTTTGTGCATTTGCCTGAGTTGCCCTGATGGGACACAACCTCCTGGGGAACAGAGACTTGGCCCACCCTCTCACTGCCAGGCACCTGGCACACAGGGTTTGCTGGGAGGGCAGATAAGTCAAGATCCACATGAGTGAATTCCCAAGTACAGGACTTTTCCAGAGTGACCAGAATGGAACAAGACATAGCAAGGCCTCCAGAAAAGGGCTGCAGGAGCCACCCACTGTCTACTCTTACCTCACAACAGGGACCACGGGACACAGAGCTGAGCCTGAAGGGGCCAAGCAGAGCCAGCTATGTCTCAGCACCCAGATGGTCACGGGGGCCACCAGCCAGACGCCAGGGGGAGCCCACCTCTCGCCTCCATTTCATGGCCCCCTGTGACCTTGACATGTCCTGCCCCCTCCTCCCAGCCCAGCACCACCTGGCTCCAAACCACCAGCAGCAGCCTCTCTTTGGGCCGTGCAGAGGCACTGGCAGCTGGAGTTTGGCTCTTGGCGGTGTGGCCAAAGAGAATTCAAGCTGGTACCAAGGGCTGCTGAGTCAAATTCACGATGAGTCAAATGCTTTCCAAGTGCACAGCCAGCACCACAGAATTTACCCATGAGCTGCCCAGGAAACCCAGGAGGCCCCGCGTCCCAGTGATTACCGGCAGGCCTCAGGGCTGTAGAACTCCAGCGAGGACTCAGGAGTCATGAAGGGTGGCCACATTTGCCCAGCAGTTCCATTGATCATGTTGCACTGATCGGAATGCCAGAAGTCAACCTGGGGGGAAGCATCCAGACCAGACCCCTCAGTGGGGCCAAGGCCCCTTAATAAGGCCTCTCAGGTGCCGCACACCTAACCCACCCTGGTGCACACACAGCCACTCAATTCGCAATACTGGCACGGTGGGAAGCTGGCAGGCTGTGTAGACAGACAGACAGAATGCCTGCCTCCCACAGCTTCCCACTCCCACACCTCTGAATGTGTCACTTTGCTGGGGACTCAATTCTTTCATCTGCAAAATAGGCCTATCACCCACATCTCCAGCCTCAATCTGGAAAGAAGTGCGGTGAGCAGGTGGGGTGAGAGGTGGGGGCGGCTGTGCTCAGCCCTCAGAGCGGAAGTCAACAGGCCCCTCCTAAAAAAAACAATCGGCACACAGGCAAACTACTTAAAATCGTAATGGTGGCCACCACCACGCAACCCCGAAACAGAACCCATCAGGTTAACTGCCTCTGGGGAGCGAGACCCAGACTCGACAAGTCCAACTGCTCACTTTCCAATCTTCCGCAGGATGAGGAGGTTTCAAATCACGTGCACATGTACAGTATATTGGAACATACAAGCCACAATGAAGGTGAACTCCATCTATCATGAATGGCTACTGCTGGTTGCAGATGGTGATTCTGGCCACTCTGGGCACTGGTTGGGGTACGATTTGTCCCCAGCCCTCAGGGTCTTTGCAGTAACTACCACGGGGGGCAGGTAGTGGGAAATCGCACAATCATTTTCACACATATTGAGAAAAGGTCACGAAGGTGAAAAAAGCAAGTTGCAAAACAATGCACGTAGTATGATTTCTTGATGTTTAAAGAAGAAACAATTCCATATTTCTCTGTGTACATACAGACGTGCACATGGGTAAAAACAGACGGGAAGAATATATCCCAAACTGGTAACTGTGGGTTTCCTCTGGGGCGAGGGGTAGGGATGGGAGGTGATACTGAGGGCACTTGTCTCTCTCTCGTATTATTTTGAAATGTGAATCTCCTTTCTTTTTTTTTTTTTTTGGAGACTTAGTTTCACTCTTCTCACCGAGGCTGAAGTGCAATGGCACAATCTCGGCTCACTGCAACCTTCACCTCCCGGCTTCAAGCGATTCTCCTGCCTCAGCTCATGAGTAGCTGAGATTACAGTCATGCACCACCAAGCCCGGCTAATTTTTTGTATTTTAGTAGAGACAGGGTTTTGTCATGTTGGTCAGGCTGGTCTCGAACTCCTGACCTCAGGTGATCCGCCCGCCTTGGCCTCCCAAAGTGCTGGGATTACAGGCATGAGCCATGGCGCCCGGCTTTCAAAACATTTTTGTAAGTAAAGAACCGAAAAGAAGAAAGCACTCCATTCCCAGCAGACGCCAGGTGCTCAGTAAGTCACTAACGCCGCCTGCCCCTCTGGCTGGTCAAGATTTAACCAGAGGTAAAATCCCTTCTCCAACTTTGAGAGTGTTCATCCTCCCAGCACCCTCTTCATGACAAAGGAAGAAGAAGCCCTGTGGTCCCTGTCATTCCCGAGCAGCCACGGCCTGGCCCACCCTCCCCTCTCCAGGGGCCCTCGCCTCTCACCCCTCACCTTGCTCAGCCCGTTCCACTTGTCCACGAGGTGGATCCTGCTGATGTTCTGGACCCCCGTGAACACCGTGAAGAGCCCAGAGTCGGAGTTGTTGAGCTGCAGACACAGCAGGGAACAGCATCGTTAAGGCTCGGGCCTACCATTGAGCTCGCCTGGTCTGAACATTCTGGGCTGAGCCCTCCTCCCCCTCCACCAGAAGGAAAGGGCTCCCGGCATCTGGTTCACTGCCACATGCCCAGTGTCTGGGGACTGAGAGGAGGCTTGGGAGCTTTCTAGGAGGAACGGTCCCAGGTTCTATGGCTGCAGTGTTCCACCCTCCCTTCCTAACTCCGGGAGAGCCTAGCTTTCCTCCCACGGGAATGGCAGATCACCCCCACCATAGCCTACTCCAGCATAAAATAAAACGGGGCCAGGTCAGCTCCCTGAGCAATGAAAAAGCAGAAGTGGCATGTCACTTGGGGGGACGCTTTAAGGACTGTGCACACGCCTTTCACCAGGCTCTCTGCCACCACTATAGCAGCCAAGGAGGTGTGTGTCAAGACAGCCTCCCTTGGCCTGGGTCCCCAAGTGACTACCACAAGCGAGGGTGCCCCAGTCACCCACACTGGACATGGAGTGCAAGCAAAGGAGTAAGTCCTGGTTGCTCTAAGTCATGGAGATTCGGGGACTGCCTATCACAGCAGCACAACCTGGCCTGTCCTGACCGTCACGGTTTGTGGAACATTTCTTGATGGGGGCCCAGGCTTTGGTGCTTCGAGAGCATTTCCCAGAAGCTGGTTCCTAATCCCAAAGACATGCAAAGCACAAAATGGTCTGAGTGACTAAAGGAAATATCTGGAAGTGCTTTGCAGGGTGAAGCACACTGAGGAGCTCCAAGGTTGCCCAGCCAAGTGGCTGCACCCATCACAGACCTCCAGGGCAGGACCCAGCACAAGTCCCTGGCCCAGCCTCCCATGTGTGTCTGTCACCTGCCCATGTAGAGCCAAGAATAACCAGAGCCACTACATAGGGGAGAATTAAAGGGGATCATGTGCAAAAAGGGCCAGGTACGGTGCCCCAGGCACAGTAAGAGCTCAAAATGCTGGTCTTTATTACCATTATTATTGTTATTATTAATAAATCATCACTCAACAGGATCCCTAAATGATCATGATAATGGACAGAGAGCATCAGAAACTGCGAGTTACTACCCAAAGCCCACTCTCTCCTTACTCCTTCATAACAAAACCCAAACCATACTCAGAGTATCAGCACACCCAGCTAAAAGGCTACCTTTCCAGCTTCCCCTGGAGCTAGGTGTGGCCACGTGACTCAGTTCTGGCCAATAGAAAGGAAGTGGACGTTGGTTTTCTTCCTCCCTAAGAGGGAGGCAACTGGGACATGCTGTTTTACCCCCGATTCCTCCATCTGCTCCCCAAAGCCCCACCAATTCTTCCTTCCCGCTGTGCTACCTGGAATGTGATGTGATCGCTGACACTCTAGCAGCCATGTTGGACGATGAGGTTATCTTGAGGATGAAAACCACATGCCAAGGATGGCAGAGCAGAGGAGTAGAAGGCTTCCAGATCACTTAAGACCATGAAGCCACCACACCAACACTGAATAGCCTACCACTAGACTGTTCTTGTGAGGTTTTCATTATATGTGGTCAAACGTAGATTATACTAAACTAGGGACTTTGTAATAACTTTCGTTTGCAAAGCACTTCAGGATTTACAAGATGCTTTTACAGAATCATGCCACTTAGCCCAAACTTGCTAATTTACCCACACAACAGGAGCCCATCACCCTTGACAAAAACATACTATCTATCACATG